GAAGCGATGGCAGCAGCTGCAGAGGGGCTGCCTGACCGAGTGCCTGGCACAGGCACCCACTGCCACTCCAGGGCACATGAGGCCCCAACCGTCTGTCCCGGCCCTGCGGACGGCTGCAGGTGTGGGCAGCCCCATGCCACGGGCTCACCTCGACGTCACGCATGAGCAGCTGGGTGGGCGTCTGGACGGGCGCTTTGCTGTCGATGACCTTCTGCACTGCGCACACCCAGTGCACAGCCTCGTTCAGGTGCTCTGTGTACAGGCGGTAGCAATGCTTCCTGCCAAACACCGTCACGCTCCAGTAGCCTGCGAGGGACAGACAGCTCACCTGCTGCCCACCAGCACCCTCGCCCCAAGGAGTCCCGCCCCAGCCAGGCCGGCTCGACGCCCCGGGGCTTGGCATAGCCCCTCCTCTGGGCGATGAAGGCCCCCCAGCACTGGGAGGGCGATGAAGGGCATGAGGGGCCACAAAGGCGCAGCCCAATCAAGGGGCGCGGGTGCCTTACCCGTCTCCTTGTAGGTCTGCTTGTCCGGCCAGAGCACAGAGCAGAGGCTGGTGAGCACAAGGGAGCCCAGCCGCCGGGCCCCCTTCTCGTTGCTGCTGTAGTAGTCGAGGGAGTCAGGCGTCAGCACGAACCAGTACTTCCGAGGCCGTATCCAGGGGGTCTTCACACCGCCCCGCACCTCCCGCTGCAGCCAACCTGGGAAGGGGAAGCCTTAGCCCCTGCCACCAGCACCATCCGCCCCACCGGCTCTCTGGTGCAGGGCAGGGTCTGCCTGGCACCAGCCCAGCCAGTGCGCCCTGTCCCTCTGGGACGGGATCCAGCCACAGTCGGGGCACGATCCTGCCAGCCATGGCTGTGCCCTAGCTACTCCAGAGGCAGAGGCCCCCGTGCCCCAGCCTGGCTGTGCCCACCTTTCACGAGAGCATCGGGGTCATCCTCCACTGGCCCTGGGCCCTTCTCCACGATGAGGCTGCGCATCTCCTCCGCGACAAGCAGAGACCTGAGGATGACACATGGCTGAGCCTGGGTGCCCGTGGGTGCCTCCCATGGCCCCTGAGTGGGGAGCTGGCCCGGGGGGCTCCGGGCACCCCGCAACCCCACGGTGGGAACGCAGCAGAGGCATTGGGTGCAGATGACCCTGGCTAAAAATAAGCTGTTTGCAGTCGCGGCCCTGCCAAGGAATTCGGAAAATGAACAACCAGGAAGGAATGTTGGCAGCGGCGTCGGCACTGGGAGGACAGGGAGCAAGCAGGCCCCTGTGCCCCGGCACCCCATCTCCCCGGGCACACACTGCCCCAGGGCACAGCCTCTGCTGGTGGACATGGCCCGGCAGAGCCTCCCACCCTGACAGAGCCTCCTGGCACAGGAGGAGCCACGCACAGCCCCCGTTGGCTAAGCCTGTGGCAGCCAAGCCATCCAGCATGGCAGAAGGATGGAGACGTGCCCGAGGATGCACCAGGGATGGAGACGGAGCGCAGCAGTCCTGGCCCTGCCGTCCTCTGCTCTAGCCGATAGACCGGCACAGCATGGTGCCAGCTTCGTGGGCAGGATGGTACGGTGCACACCGGCACCAGTGCATCCTCCCACGGCATGCCAGGCCCCCAGCTCTCACAGCACTATGCAAGGGATGCGACAGGATGCCCAGCGGGCCAGAGGCAGGGGGTCACTCACCGCTCCGAGCCACTGCTGCTGCGAGTGGGCTGGCTCAGGCTCACCTCCAGGGACCCCTGGGGAGGAAGGAAATGTCTCAGCCCCACGGGCACCACCTGGCACCCCTGAATGTCCGCCCGATGACTGCTCGCGTCCTCGCCAGCCCAGCTCCAGGCCCAGAGGGACAGGCTCACATCCTGCTGCCATGGGGCAGGGAGCCCCCATGCCCCCCATGGCCATGGCAGGAGCCAGGGCTGCAGCTGGGGCACCCCGGGGGTGCAGGGGCAGCCATCAGGCGTGCTGGCCGTGTATCCTTGGCTGACCCGGCAGGCTGAATACCGTGCAGAATTGCACAAGGTCAGTGCTGAGTAATACGCTTACGGCACAAAGTCCCATTGTAATGAGGCCTCTGACTTCCTGCCCGCGGCGGTGGGATGTGGCGCAGGGAAGTCCCTGGCCCTGCAGCGGGACGGGGGCCGGTTCCTCCTTGCGCAGCACAACTTGACGTGGACAGTGCCGCTCACGTGATGACCCCGGCACACGTGCTGGGACACGAGGCAGGGCCCAGGCACGGGCAGGCACCGGGTCGGGCAGGGCGCCCCAGCAGAGCGGGGTGCGGGGATGCGGCAGCGCTGGCGGATGCTGCCCCGGGAGATGCGCGGGTGCTCCCGCCAGCTGCAGCCCAACAGGGCAGCCGGAGGCACGACAGGCCAGAGCGCGCCACGAAACACCAAGAAAAAGAGACAGCTGCTAAAAATAGTGTCGGGGAGGGGGGAGCCACTGCAGGTACGGCTCCGCCCCAAAAAGCAGGTGTGGCTGCGCCACGGGGGGCTGGCCTGCGCTGCTGACCCGTGGCATTAAGGGCACCTGTCGTGCAGCGCCAGTGCCCAAGCACGGGGCCAGCTCCTCCAGCCACTGTCACATTGCTGATGTCGCTGCCAGGGAGGGCTCCACGCGCTCCCGCACGGCTGCAGGCACAGAGACAGTGCCCAGCTCCTCGGCCACGGCCCGTGGGAGGAGGAGGCGACAGTGGTGGCCGGCTCCTTCTCAGGGATATAAATAAACAGGAGAGGAGCCGTGGCAGCAGGGCCGGGGCAGCTGCTCCCACGCTCCCAGGAAGGGGCGGCCGGCGCTGTGGGTTTCTGAGGACCCCCCGGCCACGGCAAAGGGCTCCCCAGGGAGCTGGTGTAACGGCCACCCACGCCAGCCCGGACCTCTGGAGCCAGCACGGCCCATGGGACACGGGAAGCCCAAAGACGGCTCCTGCCATTGCCGTGCCCTTGGCACTGCCACCGGTGCCTGGAGGGACCAGCTCCAGCCCTGCCGCTGTCCCTGCTGCTCGCCGTCCGCAGGGCTGGCACCGCTGGGGAAGGGGACCCGCTGCTAGGGGACAGCTGGTGGGGGGGACTCAGGGCTGCCCCCAGCCCTGCACAGCCAGGGCAGCCCAGCGGCAGCAGGGCCGTGTTGCAGACCCCATGGTGGGCAGGGGTAGAGGGGCCGCAGCAAGCGGGACCAGGCTCTCACCACCTCCCGTGTCCCCTCCGGGCAGGGACACGGCCCCATGGATCCGGGTGCAGGAGGCAGCCGGAATGGGCAGGAGGAACCCCTGGGAGCCAGGGTTCCCCCCACTGCCCCATGCTATCAGCCGTCCCCCACGCAGCCCGGCCGGAGGAAGCGCCGGTTTCCGCCACTCTGCTTCCCTAAACAGAGGAAGCAGCCGGAGCGGGGAGATCCAGGCCTGCTCCCCGCGCCTGGCACGTGCTCCCGGGGTGCTGTGTGCCAGGAACAGCCCCGGCCTGCTCTGGCAGGTCTGTGCGGAGCTGCGGCCAGTCCCGAGGAACTCGTCCCGCGAGGACCCTCCGCAGCCCGGCCAACCTGACCTCGGCAGCAGCACAGGGCAGGTACGGCCCCGGTGCGGGATCTGGCACCGACAGCCCCACGGCGCCTCGCCCGCGGAGCCGGGC